AGGTGGAGGGGCTGTTCTCCTAAGTGCTGGGTGCAGAAGGGGCTGAGGCCCCCACGACAAGTGGCATGGAGTGGGGCAGCTGCCGCCGCCCTGCTCACTGGACCTCGGTGTAGCAGCATCCTGCGGGGACCCAGGGACCAGCTCTGCGGTGGCGCCTTGGGGAATGGCAGAACCTGGAGATAGCGCCTTTGGCACCGGCACCCTCATTCTTACATGAGCATGAGCAGCTGTGGCGCGTGGAGACGTTTAAAATGGGCTCACAAACTGCAGGAGCCCTCACTGGAGAGGCCGCTGGGGGGTTAGTGAGAAGAGGGGCCGTGCAGACATCACTGGTAGCAGAAAGGACTGTTCACACACCCATGTGAGACATCCTGGGGAGGGACCCTGCTGGGACAGGACCTGCTGCATGAGCAGGTGGAGGTGAGGCTGCGGGGGAGCTATGGCTCATCACTGTCCATGGCTCCAGAAGTCTCTGGGCAAGGACATTTTCCAGCCCACCCATCTCTCCCTTCCCCCCTCTCCAGCCACGTGCTGATCCTCAATCAAGAAGCATGATTTGGGCTTGGAAAAGAAATAACAGGGCTTTCAGACTCAGATCCCTAAAGCCCACCTCTGATCCTGCCTCTCTCCTGCTCTAAAACCTTCAATGGCTCCGTATTGCCACCCCCCAACCAGACCCCATACGCCATGGGGAAAAGGATCCCTCTCCCTCTCTACTTGCCTAGATCCTCAATCCCGCCCACACTTCCAGATCCAGGTAAAGTCCTGCCATCTGCACAAGGTCTTTCCCAGTAGCTTGACTACCTCTCGGCAGGACCACCTTCGTACATCAAATCTGCTGTCATCGTAGGCAGTTGTCTGGTTAAGTCAGGGGCTTAGGAGACAGAACACTGGCTTTGGAGCCAGAGACCAAGACCTGTGTCCTTGAACAGGTTACCTGACCTCTTTAAGCATCTGTTTCTTTACACCCTCTAAGAAAAAACCCATCTTTTCTCTCCTACTCAAGTCATTTCAGGGATTCTGGCAGCTCAGTGGTTAAGCAAGTGCTTGGCTACTAACTGAAAGGCTGGCAGTTCGAACCCACCAGCCATTCTGTGAGAGAAAAGACCTCATGATCTGCTCCCATAAAGATTTACAGCCTTGGAAGCCCTATGGGGCAGTTCTACTCTGTAACATGGGGTTGCTATGAGTCAAAATCGATTGAATGGCAAACAATAACTTCGACAACAACAAATCCTTTTGACCGTCCCACAGGAAACAGCCATCTCAACAAAAGCTTTCCCAGTTAGCCTGTCAGGCGAAGCAGACTGCAGGTGCTAACCAGGCATGACTCTAGTTACCCATCTCACTCTGTCCTGTCCTGAGCAGGACTTCTCAGGGCAACAGGAAGGACTGGCCTGGGCCGCCCAGGCTGGTAACAGAACAGGTCAATCTGCATCCCGTAAGGTATCCCTCAAGCCAGGGCAAGGCAGGGCAGAATGCAGCCTGGAGCTGAAACAGGGACTCAGAAGACCAGTGGGAGAGTGGAGAGAGGTGTAAGCTGGCAGACACTGGGACATTTGGTCCACGTGCGTGCATGCTGCAAGGCATTGGGAAGCTTTTTCTTTTCTACCCCTGTGCTGCCAGCCTGCCCGAATGTTTCTACTGATCTGACCTTGCAGGGA